TCATATACTAATACAATGTAATGCGATACGATCAAGGATGCAAGATCAAGGTCGGAGCTTTGGCGGAAAATATACATATTCTCAGAAAATAATCGATTTTTCACAAATGAAATTGTTCTGAGGGCGTTTAGCTACAATAATATGTTTGCTTTGATATAATTATGTGCATATAAATCTGCTAATACAGTTTCAACACTAGAAAATTATCTTTCTCAAAAGCTATTGTTGTGATCAACATTGATTTATTCGAGTGTCTGTCTTCATTAATAAATAACCACAATAAAATTTTGCTTTTAAAGTTTGAAGCAATATGACAAAATTCAAAAACCATCAAGTTTTTTGCTTCATTATTTTAGTAAATAATTAGGTAAAACATTTTATTTTTCCAGTTTATGATACACCCTTCAAGAGCGATTTCCAACCTATGGGGCGTGCCCCCTCAGGCCGTTCTAAGGGGGCCACGTACATCTTTTCTAGAATACTATTATCAAAAATAATCCAACATTTAGAAAAACACGATAATAAAAAATAAAAATAAAAAATTTTATGCATATTTTTACATAATATTGCATATTAATTTGTAGTCTGATAATATCAGTAGAGTATGTACAAAATTAAATTAAATTGAAAAAATGAAGGGGGTGCAAGTTGCAAGTTGCAAATTGCTATTGTAGCCTAAAATAAATTATTTGAATTTAAGCGTTATAAGCAATTGTTCTGGCGTTATAAGGCAGTGGTTTCCAACCTTTTTTGAACCCCTGCTCTAATAAAAAAAATGTTGCACTGTGCAACATAATTTATTTTAGACTACAATAGCAATTTGCTCTTGAAAATGAGTAAATCAAAGATCAAAAGATTTGAATTAAATCTAATGATTTATCTAACAATGAGTTAATTGTATTTTTCGATTAGAATTTTAGAACTTGTCTATTTCTTCGTTTTTTTTCAAGTTTAATTTCTTTCTTACAAAAATATGCAGTAATTGGTTTGTTATTTCAACAGATGTCTGTTCAGAAGACAACCCAGTAGTTTTTCTTTCATGTTGTAGCATAATTTTATAAACTTGAATAGTAATAGGTTTTTTGTTAATATTTTTGCTACAATGCTCCAAAAGATAATTCACATTTAATATTTTAGATTTGTAATCTCAAGTGAAAATGTGATATACTGATATCGAACCAACCGAGCTGGGTATCGAACTCAAAATTAGTTATTGCTAATTCAGTTTTTAGCAACAATTTTTGGTAATGATTGTGGTTAAGTAGTAACAAATTTTTACTACAAAGCCACAATAACGACCAAAATGGTTTCCCAAAAATTGATTTTGATCAATTTTTCATCAAATTAATGATTAGTTTCATTAATCCAAAAGTGTTGCTAATTTGCAACAAAGAAAATTCTATTCTTTTGCAATTTATTGAATATAATAATTACTAAAAGTAAAATTTTAAATGATTCAAAAGTGCGTTTCAATCCTTGGGAAACGCATGACGTGAAGGACTTTACATAAAATTGTAGATCAGATTTTTATACCAGCTTGTAAGCGGATTATATATTTGCATATTAATAATTGTGTATATATATATATATATATATATATATATATATATATTATATATATATACTGGATGCTACAATATGTTATGGAAAATTCTCGGCGTTGATTTTTATAACCAACAATGTCAAATTTTAAGAAAAGTAGTTCAAAATTAGATATCTATTAAGTCTACAGTATGAATATTGGAAAATGAAAGTTCGAATCAAAAACTATTAGGTTAGTTCTCGAATTAACATGTTTTCTCATCATAATACTTGTTCATCGTAACAAAGAAAATTGGCTTAGATTATACCCTCTGTCACATATTTGCTTATATCCGCCATAAATTAAAAGTTATTTTTTAGGTTAAAAAATTACATTAAGAAGAGCATATAACTCAACCTACTCAATATTCCACAAAGTATTTAAAAAAAAACTTATTTCACTCTTGAGTATATCTATAAAATTTGTTATTACAAGAATCATAATCAATCTTATAAATGGTATGGACTATGTGTCCGTTATACCACTTCATGGCTTTATATATTGGCATAACTATTATCAAAAGTATAGATGTACTTTATATTATTATAAGCAATAAACCGTTTAAATTTTTGAAATAATTTTAAGATACTGTGCATTTCAACCTCCATTAACTTCTTCATTTCTGAAAAGGATCTTGCAATAGCTGCTTCATGATGCGAAAAGAGAGAAAATGAATATTAATGCATTGCTCGCAAGAAGTTCATTTAGAAAACGATTTCATGTCCTTTCGAGTTTATTTGCAATTATATAGAACACTTTGCTGGAATTACTGTAATTTTCTAAATAATATCGTAGTCATTTTAATTGCCGATTTAATCAAATTGTGAAATAAAACAATAAAAATAAAAAAATTTCAACAGCTAATTACAAAGAAACGGCCGATCATTCTCCAAAAATTATAAAATTACTTTCCTTTAAGTATTAATTATGAATAAGTTTGACGAGAGCCTGAAATAATATTTATTATTATTGATTACGGCTTGCTTATGAATAAATAAATAAATAAATAATATTTTTTAATAGTTTTTGATGTTTTAAAATCGATTGAGAATTTTTGGTTAAACCGTGGACGGTAAACTTTTCACTTTTCTGATAATTACAAAGAAACAGCTCAGCCGATCGTATCAAAAATCCAACCGACGCGGGTGCTTATCAAGTATTATCAATAGTATCTTAAATTTTGCAATCGACTGAACCATTTTTCAGGAAACGTGGATGAAAGATCTAATTTTAAGAATGACTTTAACAAACGCTTAATTTAAAAAAAAACGCTGCTAATTTTTCTCAAATTTGATGCATTTTTAAAATTAAACTACTTGCCACAAGGCCTTAACATTTTAGTATGTTCTAGAAGACCATGATATCTATAATAAAAAAACATAAAAATCGTCAAAAAAAAGTTTCAACACTTAATTGCAAGAACTTGTACCAGCAAAACTTTACCAAAAACTGATCATTCAATCAATATAAATCGAACAGTTTTTGAATTTTTTAATCGCGGGCTAAAACGTGGGCAAAATTTTTTGCTTCTCGGCTTCTCACATAGATACGGATTAGATAATCGTTGCGGAAAACTGACAAACGCAAGTCCTTATATCGAGTTACATCAAACGGCTTTTGAATTTTTGAAATCAGTTCCGCCGTTTTTGAAAAAACGTCGACGAAAGGTAAAAAATCTTTTCACACACACAAACATACTTTTTTCAAAATTAGTCTTATTCGATTCAGAATGACTTGAAACGTCGAGGAAACATAAAATTAGCAAATCGGATTTTTTGACGAAAACAAACTTCTTTGGGATAATATACTGATTGTAAGGTTATTGACATTAAACATCAGACATAAGAAAACGCCCATTTCTATATCATCTATAAGGATGCAATCATTTTCTTGTCGAAAACAAGTAAATGATATAGATTTATTTCCGGTGTAGCGATCTCGATAAAAGATTATACCCGGTGATATGCAATACTTCGCTTGATCGCCTTAGGGTTGTTTGTGTACTCAGATATTTGAAGCGTGCAACGGATTTGTAAACCGAACAGGCATAGCAAAACTCATATCGAATTACTGTATCGATTACAAGATTATTATTAAATAAATATACACGTTATAACGATTATTAACACGTGTTACAGCCACAGCCCTTCATTGATAAAGGAAAAATACAGTTCGTAATTATTATGGTGAGAGCAATTGTGGCGAGAAATCTGGAAAATGACATTCTGAGCCCGTTGTAAGAACGTGGATCAGCAATCACGTGGTGCCGGGTTCGATTCCCATCTTTGCTAGCTTAATATCAATCAGTAGTGATCTCAGACCAACACTTGAGGTTAAAAATCTCAATTATAAAATCAACTAAAAATAGCTTTTAATTTTAACACTATTAGTGATATATCTTATATAGTCTCAATAGAATAAGATTGATTAACCACTGGGTTGCCCTCTCGAAACACCAGGTAAATTTATATACAACAAGAATTATAAAATCAACTAAAAATAGCTCTTAATGGCATTGCTTCAGTATAGATTCACAACACTATTAGTGATATATCTAATATAGTCTCAATAGAAAAAGATTCATTAACCACTGGGCTGCCCTTTCAAAATACCAGATAAAGTTATGTACAACAAAACAGATTATGGAACACAAATTTCTGATTACTGTTGAAAAATTAAAAAAAAATTCAATAGCAAATCTATAGTTTCCGATTTTGATCATAAATGCTTCGTATGTAACTCTTTAATATGTGAGCCGATTCTGGCGTAAAATAGACTAATGTTATGGCAAAGCTATGTAACGTGGCAGTTTTCATACGGTTTTCATAAAGTGATGGCTGGTTATACATATTTTTCCCTCAGATTTCAAGTATTCTTGTTAAAATATTCTTAACTTCACTAGTTTTTGAAATATCGGTGGTGGACCTTTTTACCCGCGGACCTTTGAGCCCTGCTCTACTCTACTACAAAATAGTTTCAAATCCTCAACACTATGTTTTACATATTCCTTCACTAAAAAAACTACGGATTTAATTCTAATAATAAAAGTTAGAACAATATGATTATTATCGATAATTTCCAATAAATAATAAATGATCAGGAAGGTTGCTCCTAATTTACAATTTCCGAGCTTAATAAATTGTGACAGTGCATTCAATAGATTTTCGTGTGATGGACAGATGGACGAAATTTGTATAGATTCAAACTGAAAATACTTTACTATAATATTCTGTCAACCCAAAATATATTTAATTGGAAACTTATAAATAATATAAAAACGTATTACTGCACTCATGTGTAAATTACATGATACACATTCTCAATTGTTGAACAGAAGCATATACTTATTTATCTATGGACAGAAACATATAAAAAAGCTGTAATAAACCAAAAATTAATGAAATTTCAATTATATTACCTATCTACACTAATGCACACCAGTACAAAAGACGACAAGTACAATCCAAAAGTCCTGAAAAATGCCATCATCCTGCACATAAAGGCACCAGCCCTCCAGGACACTGTGCTGGCCCATGCTATTTCCAAAGGCATTATTAGAAAAGTCACCTGTAATTGAAAATAATTATATTTCAAATTTATTTAGTATTTAATAGTTTAAAGTTGGTTGTGATGATTATCTTAATATCTATTATTCATAATGAACGCTATTAGTTAAATGTTATATACATAAATAATAGTAATATTTGTACTAGAATTAATTAAAATAATTAATTCTAAGTAATAGTATTTTCATTTCATGTTCAATAAACTGATTTTTCATGAATTCTCTGCTATTCCTTCAATGAAAATGTTTACGCCCACACAAAAACTCATACATGAATAGAAATAAAAAGATAAATGTCAATTTTAATAATAGAATCTTTACAGATATATTTGTACGGAGCAGCTTATATGCAAATCATTCCATTCTCAGAAAATTTAATATAATAAAATATACCTTTGTAGTTTGTGTGAGTAGGCAGTACAAAAAAATTAGAAAAAAAAAATTGAAAACTCTTAGATCGCATTAATTGTAACTTCTAAAACACTATATATATATATATATATATATATATATATATATATATATATATATATTTATTTATATATATGGCGGAATGAACACCATATGAAGTTGAAGGACGTCAATTGATGACAATGGCGGAATGAACACCATTGATGACAAAACTAAATTATATTGGGCTACGTTGATTCGGATCTGGCATCAAGCAAGCTATAACGATCTGATTGTTTTTATACGATCGAAGATTATTGTCGCGCTTTTTAAAACGATCGAAAATATTGTATCGAGTTTTTTGCCAACGAGCGTTTTCTCGTGAACGAAATTTAGATTTGATTTAATGTAATATCAACATCTTTATCAATTGAGACATTAATAAACAGTCATTATCGAGTTGAAATAAAATTATTGCGATTTCATTCAAGAATTAATTAATTAATAATATATGGCCCACTAGCGCCATAAAGGGCGGAGTGATCTGTAGCGACCTGTCAACACACGTCGCATTTTAACTTGACAGATGTTCATTATTTGAAGCTCATCATAGTGTCAGCTCAAAAACAAAAAGTTCAAGTGTCAGATCAGATCTCGTTTTTGTTTGCTCAATGTTCGAAATGCCAAAATTATAATTCTTAACTTTTTTCCTTTTTTTATTATAAATACTGAAATAACATCTACGTTTTTGTAAATGATCAATATAATCACACATAGTGTTATTACTATTGTCATAATAAACAATATTCGTAGTATAGAGAACACGAGTTTCTTTAGTGGTGACCGCGAACGTGAATTAATAGCACGCATATAGAAGGAAAGAAGGTAAGAAGATCAAGACACATTTAGAAGTAACAAATTTAGAAGTAAAAAAATAAATTGAAGTCTCATGAATTATTAAGAAAAGAATTTTTAAAAATAAATAATGAATATAAATGGCTCACAACCGCCATAACTCTAAGAACATTCTAATCCTACAACTGAGACTCCGGCCACGCACATCGAAAACAACAACACGTGCTCGATAAATCCCTCATTATCCTGGAAAATGAGTCGATTATAAGCACCACGGCAGAGGACAGGGAGCGTCAGCAAACAATTTGGCAACCGCCACATACACTCAACCGCTAACTCACCAGCGAAGGGCCACATACAATCAACCGCTAACTCACCAGCGAAGGGCCACATACACTCAACCGCTAACTCACCAGCGAAGTGTCAAATATACTCAGCCGCTAACTCACCAGCGAAGGGCCACATCTACTCAACCGCTAACTCACCAGCGAAGGGCCACATACACTCAACCGCTAACTCACCAGCGAAGTGTCAAATATACTCAGCCGCTAACTCACCAGCGAAGGGCCACATCTACTCAACCGCTAACTCACCAGCGAAGGGCCACGTAAGCAATCAACAAACTCAACAAGCCAACACGGCATTCAAAACGGCCACGGCCACGAACAAATAAAATTTATCACACAATCTCAACCAAAAGAAATTTACAAGGAAGTTCAAGAATGGCACTCAGAGATGCGAAACAATCTTTTTCATTAGGGCGGAGTGATCTGTAGCGACCTGTCAACACACGTCGCATTTTAACTTGACAGATGTTCATTATTTGAAGCTCATCATAGTGTCAGCTCAAAAACAAAAAGTTCAAGTGTCAGATCAGATCTCGTTTTTGTTTGCTCAATGTTCGAAATGCCAAAATTATAATTCTTAACTTTTTTCCATTTTTTATTATAAATACTGAAATAACATCTACGTTTTTGTAAATGATCAATATAATCACACATAGTGTTATTACTATTGTCATAATAAACAATATTCGTAGTATAGAGAACACGAGTTTCTTATATATATATATATATATATATATATATATATATACATATATATATATATATATATATATACATATATATATATATATATATATAATGTATGATTGTTTCTTTTCCGAACAGTAAATCCAATAATAAAAACAATTTGTTTTTTGAAGATGTTTAATAACGACGTTTCGGAACTAGATACGTTCCATCATCAGGTTTATTCTGTCAAAGACAATGTTTTTTAAAACTATTGACTAACATTAGTTAATGATGGTTATTACAGATTATTTAGAAAAAAAATATAAAGGAATGGATTATGCACCAGTGTAAAGAGTAAAGAAAAGTAACTAAAAACGGTTTTATATAAATTGAAAAGCAAGAATTATTTGCCTGTAATAATTTATATATCCATATCACTAATATTTTTTGTTAAAAACACTCGTTTTTTCCGAGAATATTTGTAAATGTTTTTGACTTCACAAGACTTTGTAACACACAGTAATGAAGTTCTGTCGGTCAGATGTAAGCAATATATACGGACTTAAGCAAAATAATTTTTTATGGCTCTTGTATTGGTAATTTACGTAATAAATTTCATTTAAACTGTAACCCCTAAACTTTAACTTTTAATAACATTTCTAAGACCACAATCGAAAATAATGTCAACATTGCCCCAAGTTGAATTCAAAACTTTCAACGGTTGTCAGCTTTGAAACATTTCTTTAAAAAAAAACTCTAAAAAGTGGATTGGCAAAAACCATTAAAAACTTGCGCAAATAATCAGGATTGTATACTACTTATTAGTTTCATATTAAAAAAAGCAAGTATAAAACAAATACTTAAAATCAATTATTTTGATATTTGCTTACCAATAAATCAGCAATAGCTAAATGCATCAGCATGATATTGATCCTGGTAGGATTCCTTCGTCTTCTTCTAATGAGCAAAGCGAGGACTGTGACGTTACCAGTTGCAGAAATGACCAGTAATACGCTGTACACCGTTATGGAAAGCAGGTGGCCCTGGTTAAATCTCATATCTATGGGCAGCATAGATTCATTGAAACCGCTCACCTGAAATTTTAAATCATAGGAAAAATGTAATCAGTAATAATAAATATTATTTAATGATTTTGCTAAACTTATTTATAATAAATAATTAGTAAAATAATTTTATAAAAAATTGGTAGCTGCAAAGCAGCTCAACGTTTGCTCCTGAAATTTATAACAAGAGCTGCAAGGAGTTATTGAAATTAGGTAAATTCCGCAGTATCATAATAGACATTTTTTAGTTTAATTAAAGTCTCATTGAGTAATTCGTTGTCTAAATTTCGAATATTGAGCGTAAATATATCTCCGTAAATTGAATCAATCGTATTAAAGGAGCTAGTTAGTTGTCCAGAACTAAATAATGAACCGAGTCTCCCGCACAACAGACCAATGTTATAGCAAGGCTATGTTATAAAAAACTTTCCATACTAATTCGTTCTAAATATTAACAAAAGCCGTTTTTCTCAGGTTGTCAAATAGAAAACCTAAACTAGAGACCGCACAAATGTCAAAACAACGATTTAAATAGCAGGGTCTTTCTGACCCAGCTTCATAACATACAAGTGACGTTGCAGTTTATGTGTAAAACGCCTGAATGCACAGAAAATACATGACATTTTGACGGTATTCAGTATGATTCAGTAACATAATGTATGAAAGTTGGAGCGTAACATGGCCTTGCCTTAACATTGATCTGTTGCGTAGCAGAATCGGCCCATAAACTTGTGCTTGTTGTTATAATTGGAGGAGATCGATAGCGTGTTGAAAAATTCCAAATTGTTTTTGATAAAAGATAATGTTACCAATAAATAAATCCATAGGACTGTTTATGATATTATGTTTCTGATAAAAGCTGCTGCTGGAGGCTTTACTGGGTAAAGAAAAAATTATACGTATTTCGAGTTTCTAAAGCTCATTCCCGATGAGAATCCTCAAAATTTGGAGTAATGAGTGAAAGTTGCTATTAAGGACTTAAGAATCCTTTAAGCCTTAGAATCTAGATGAGATGTCTTAACTTAGTAGCCTTTTCCAGAAGGCAAACCAACGGTTAAGCCTACCTCTATTTGATATATTTGCAGTATTGGAATTTCTCTTATACTATAATGACTTTTAATTTGATGCATCGATGCCGAAAAGGGCATATTTCTACATGGAAACATAATTCAGCCTATATTTTTAAGTACAAATCTATGTCATTACTACGTTACACCAGCCTGTCCAGAGCGGGTATCGAATCTGAAACTTTTGGTTGGAAGCTCTATTTACTAAGCCACAAAAAACATTGGTGCAACATTAGACATGTTCTAGTCAAAATTGGTGCTTGCGTGTTAGCAATGTAACCAGATTAATTTGAAATATTATTAATATTATGAAAATGTATAAATTTATAAAAGATAATTTCCATCTGTATAAAAATATATTAAAAATTATATAAATCTGATGCCAATGCCAAGTTGATTCCCGCAATATAAATACCAAGAAATTTTGACACTTGAGAAAAATGTTTATTTGGGTTTTGATATTATTTAAGATGAAATCGTTTTTAATAATATTATAAAATAAATATTTATTTTTATTTAAAACTTAATAATTCAGGTTCCGTCACATAAATTTCTGTATTTGATATAATATTATATTTCAGAGTCATGAAAAATGCTACTATCTCATAGTTGTATTAAATATTTATCGAATAATGGGGCACTACCAAATAGAGTAATAATCATTAAGATCATTGAGATGAGCACTAATCACATCCAGATATTAGTTTAACTGAATAATGTATTAAAAAAGCTATATAAACTATAAGAAAGTACAAATAAAGAAATCATGATCAACCTAACTGTGCAGAGGTGGGTTCAACCCACAATTTCAATTTCATTAGTATCTTATTAATTAGTCATTATATAATTATATTAAAACATATATTTCATGCTAAATAATAAATGCCAATAAAAATCATGTATAAATTATAAATATTAGTTATCTCACCTTAGACCAATGCTGCAGGTTTCTGTGATCCTCAACTTCCAGGTTGACATCCATCGGTATTTCCGTCATGTTTGACATTTATAAAAAATAATTTACTAATAAACGTGAAAAACAGTTTGTGAAACTGAATACTGTTTATATTTTCACAAAGAATGGACACTCATTTTTAACCATTTCGTTTACACAATATATAAATATTTCCAAGTATATTTTATAACTTCGTCGAATATAAAAACTAAATTTTACCACAATTTAAATCCTAGTGCTGAATCAGGTACGTCACTAATAAATATTCCAACTAATTCCACAGCCTTACAAAATTCAAAAATCACAAATTGTTAATCAAAATTAATTTCACTTATATTAATATTTAAAATAAATATAGAATACTAGCAACTATCACAACCAAAATAATATTGTGCCCTTAACTTTGAATTTTTGAATTTTTGTTAACCAATCTTGATTGTCTTCCTTCTTGCAAAACTCTATGAATTGGCATGCATGCCGCTTAGTTATTTGCGTATATTTTTGCAAATGTCATAATTATGGTTCATATTCGCAGAAATTATTTTTAACATTTTTGTGTTCAGTAATAATGACGTTTTTTATAAAAAATATACACAATAAGAGAATGGTTATTTTGATCCTTAGAACTTCCTGAAGATTGGGGCACGCTGTATCCTGGAAAAGAAAATAATATATAAATAATATTTCAATTATAACTGAATAAAAAATGATAATATTTGAAATAACTAATATAATAATATAATACTGGACACTTATAAAAATATGTGTGTTTTTGGCCTCATATACTTTTAATCAGCTTATTATTTGATGTCAGCATATACATATAACATACGTACATATATATGTGTGTATGTGTGTGTTGGTATTAAAATGGCATTGTTGTGTATTTTCGAAAAGCTCCTTTGTGTCACTTGTTAATATCAAAACATTTCGTGAGGCATTAAGTTATTATGTATTTTGCTTCAGACATGCTCACAGGACAGATTATATTTATGTATATATTTATATTTATATATTAATTATACATAAATATATGAAAGTATATGTATGTCTAACGTATGTTCGTTTTAAAGTCTTTTAGGGGAAAGAACTAAAGACTAAACTTATGAAATTAAAGCTTTATTGAAAAAATTTTTTAAGCTTTATTGAAATTTAGACTGAAAAAAAATCATTAAATTAATTATAATTTTTGATAAAAATAAAACCGACACCAAACCATGATATTAGAATTTTATTAAAATTATACCTATGATGCATATGAAAAAATGCATTATTATAAAGACTGCACAAATATTATGATTAATAATTGGCAGCGCATTTGTTTATTAACTAAGTGCCAATAATAACAAATAACTAGTAGTGTATGGCATCGTGCCTTAAGGCAAATTGCTGGAACTTCCCGCAGCGTAACGAAATTTAAAGAATATTGAATGTTTTCAAATAAATTATTATAAATACTGTAACATTGTCTAATATTTATTTAGAAGAACTATATAAACTGAATTACAAATTTAAAATTATTTATTTAAAGTATGTAAGTGAGCTTTAGAACTTTAGCCAGAATTAAAATTAAAATCTGAATTATTTTCGATATACAAAAAAAATATTGACAAAAAAGTTGAAAAAAAAAATTTTTAAACATTTTTTTTCCAAATTAATTATTTTGTAAAAACAAGCAGAATGTTTTTTGAATCATTCGAATCGGATGCTTAGTACTCTTAAAAACTGCAATTTTTTGTACATTTAGTTCTGTATCTTCAAAATAGCTGGACCTGCCTTTGCCAAAAACTAATCAACTATTCTCCTAATCATTACAAATTGAATGTTTTTGAATCATTCTAATCCGTTACCCGTTTCTAACGGATACTCCATTCTCTCAAAAACTCGATTTCTATTTTCTGCACCCTTTGTTTCGTATCTCTGTAACAGCTGGACCTGCCTTTGCCAAAAACTAATCAGCACATCTCCCAAACAATAGAAAACACACACACATCCCTTTCCTCTGAGGTATGCCAAAATGTTCAGAAACCTTCAAAACGTCGAGAAATGCAAAAATTTTCATTTTCGATTTTCGACCCATTTCTATAACTACCCTACGGGAAGTTAAAAATAAATTTTATATTATTTAAAGTTTTGATCAGCTAAACTAAACTAAATGTATTATTATGTAAATTTTATGACAAAAATTGCTGTTTACTATGAGCTTTTTCATACAAAGTATGAATTTCATACAAACGCAAGCATTATTTGGTCTGTAATTATTTTATGAGCTAAAATGATAATTATAAAATTAGACAATTTATCAAAATATTATAGCTAAATTTATCTTGATTAAATATAATTTCATTTAATAAAAATAACATATAAAACTATGACGTATACATGACATTAGAATTTAAAGTTATGCCTTTGCAAGTGAAAAAAATGCATTATTATGAAGACTGAACAAATATTAGGATTCACATTTGGCCACGTACTTGTTTATTAATTAAGTGCCAATTTGAACAGCTAAAAAATTCAATTTGTAAATTATAAAGATTTTAACTAAATTTATTATGTAAAAATGATGACAAATATAGCTCTTAACTATGGGCTTTTTCATACAAAGTACCAAAAGCAATATTTAATCTGTAATTTTTTCAAGAGCTAAAATAATGATTATAGAATTAGACAATTTATCAAAATCTATTTTTCGAAATATATAGCTTTATTTTTCAAAGGCTACCTTATAGTTATAAATTAGAATATATTTGATAGGTACTATATTTGTATATTGAATACCAAAAAATAAATAAAACGGTTATAGAGCATATTATCACAGCTAGTTTTCTGGTATCAGCTATGTGCAACAAAAAAATATCTACCCATTATATATATATATATATATATATATATATATATAAAGTTGAAATTATATTTTTATATCTAGAAAATAAGATGATGTCTCCATTTTCCAATGAAAACAGTTCAGAATGAACGCTGAGACGACAAAGAAAATCTTCAGTCAATTGAAACATAATAACACAACTCGAGTAATTGCATTTTTTATTAATTTTACTGGCGCAAGTCCTTGTGAACTCAAGACAAATTTCTAACCCAAATATTAATTTTATGTCTCTTATTCTTTTCCATTTTCGTCAGTAAAAAACCAAATATGCGGAAATGTAAAAATAAACAATTATTCAATAAAATCATTTAAATAGACTATATTTGTGTCAAGTATATATCGACATAATGTAAATTTTTTATGTAAAACGCACATTAAGAAAAACCATTATTGGATTATTTTAAATAAAAAAATTAATTACTATTAGGGTCCAAACTAACACCCCGTAGCGGCTTGGCGTTAAGATCTGGGACATCCTATATGTAATTCATTACAAAGGTGAACCATTGGGTTTCCGTCTAAAAACCACTATAGAATTAACAAATTAATTATTCTATGTCCTCTTTAAAACTGATTGTGATGAAAAAAAATCACAGTGCCTGTGTCACAATAACAATTAGCATTGAGATGTTTAAATCAATCTACATGTGACGATTTAACAGAGAATCCAGACTTGCAATTTAATGCTATTTTCATAAATTTCAATATTATTCTTGAATAATATTTTAAATACTAGTTCACGATCATAATCAAATTAATAATTCTAAATTGTTTGACGAAAAGCAACATTAAAAAATCCCTTTACCGTTTCACCAAAAAAATTTTTTACCAAGGCAATAAAAATGACGGTCGGCATTTCTTATATAAAACAGCTTAATGTAATTGGTACAAAAAAGGTGATCGCAAAGAAATTTTGTGTCTGGGATGAGATTTCAAGATGGAATTTTTATGTAATTATACGTTCAATAAGTCTCGGGAGGAATTATACTCGAAGCAATAAGACGGAGCATTTTCGAGTATAATAGAAAATCAGTTCGGAGACATTTCTTTTATATAATATTCCTTTGAAATATCAAATCGTTTAGATCACTACATTTTCATTGAAATACGAGGTAAAAAAATTATTTGTTTGCACAAATGATTAATGTCTGGAAAATGTAAAAAATTCAATTTATTTCAACTATAACTAGTGTTTTTTATTTCGATCAGTTCGGCGAGATTTCTTTATGTAATATTTCTTTGAAAAGTTAAAACGTTTAGGTCATTACATTTTCAATGAAGCAAAAAATAAAAAAACTTTTGCTCAATTAATTAATGTCTGAAAAATATAAAAAATCATATATTTCAATCTACGAAAATAGTATTTTTTATTAAAACCATTTATATACGTGGTTATAATTATTTTAGACACAGTACCTATGAAAATGACCGATTTGTGTATAATTCTATATTATGATTGTTGTATTTTTCATAAATATAGAGTTCCGGCCAATATACAATTATACCTAAATAAATTTATCTTAAATACTCAAGATTAGTTCTACTTTAATGTTTTAGAACTTTTTGTAAAATTTTTGAATTTTATTGACAAACAAAAAATTTTGTGCCTATAATAAGTTGTACAAAATATTTATGATCAAAAATAAGAATATTACACACATCATCAAATTATTAGATTTTCGGAAATTTTGTAACGATTTTTCTCAAAACTTTTTTTGGTAATAATCCTTTTACAAAATTAACACGCAAGATTTAAATATATTCATTATATCGTATTTATCAAAGTTATACAGAAACTAAAAAAATATATCACAACAAATAAACACGTCAAACAAACAAACTATATCCCAGCTACTTCACCATTGTAGAAAAAGCGTTGTTTTTTGCTATTTTTCAAAAATTTGTCAGCTGCTCTTTTTACCCCATAGGCGAGATAAAATATATAATAAGATGGCAAGAGGTCAACAAACAGGACTCAATATAGTATTAATTTAATAAATCTCATTTTTAATTTTTATGGGATTTTACGAAATAACAGCTACATTATTCTACCAAAGCCAATAAATTTCATGGCTACATTTATAATACAGAGATATATACTGTATATAACCTTGATCTGATATTTCGACAAAAACATTCGTCGGCATGTTGGAAT